GGAATTCTGGGAGTTGAAGTCCACCCATCTTAAAGTTGCCAAGTTTGAAAAACATTGTCCTCGAGGATTGGAAAACTAGACAGTGGCAAATTGCACCACCTGAAGCCATAGTCAGTCGAAAAACCCAAGAGAAATCTGAAAGAAATTCTCAAGCATCCTGAGAATAAAGCAGAAAAACCAAAGCCTCTTTTCCAGGGAAAGAAACGTCGACCTCTGCAGAACATCACCCTTCTGCCAGTTTAGAATCGTGGTCTGCCCCCCACTAGCTGAAATGATACAGGCCCTCCTACCACCCCGCAAACTCCTGGCCCGTTCCCACCCTCTTCTTCCCATTTGGGGGGACCCAGCCAAGACACAACCCTTCCTTGCAGCTGGACCAGGAGGTAGCCGAAGAAGGTTTGCACCCCCATTTCACTTCTCCTCTGCTCTTCTGCCCTCCCAATCAGGCTACGCCCATCGGCAGTGCGACTTGAACGGCAGCTGGGCAGTGGTGCCAAACCAAAACCGGACGTGGGCTAACTACACCGAGTGTGCCAAGTTTCTCACCATTGACACCCGGGAAAAGGTGAGCGGCCAGCTGGGTGCCAAGCGGAGGCGGGCACCTCGGTCTGAATGAGGTGCAGAGCGCGCGAGCCACGGCCAACTTTCACCCGCAGCGAAAGTGTGCGCGAAACAGAAGCATCAGTGCATCCTCTCCCCTTGTCCCTATTAAGTGATTTTCCACGCACGTGGTGGGGATTCCTCCAGCAAGTGGCATCAGTAGAGCTCATTAGCTCCCATAATAGGTTTATTAAGCCCCCGGGTTTGGCATGCCAGTGGTAACAAAAACACCCCAATTAGATTTTGTAAGCTGCTCCAGGGTCTGCTGGAGTGGGCGGCTGGGCAAGACACGTTGAATTAATAAAATAAATAAACACATTCCCCTGAAACAAACAAACAAACATTCTGAACATCTTCTTCTGTCCACAGCAATGACTTTATCCATCTTCAGCTCATGTAGGCCCCGTCTTTGTAACACGGTGGGGTCCCCAGACAAGGAAAAAGAAATTACGATTCATACTTAGAAAGCTGTAAAAATAACTTGGCTATTTAAACTGGCATTTGGGGATTAAAAAATGTGACAGGTAGCTAACCCGGGATGTTTCTGGCGCTGTTACGATTTTACAAGAATTGTAGAGGTGATTGACTGAAGGGTGATTTTAAGTGCTACACAGTACGGCTTGATTTGACACCTGGGATATGATTTCATTTCACTTGTAAAGTTTGCTCCACTTACTCAAAGCACTTCTAATCCTAAATTCTGAACATCGCCCAGATCTGCTCTCAGTGTGGTGAGGAAACAACTTCCAATATCTCAGAGTCACGTAGAATCCGAGAACCCTAAAGCTGGAAGGGACCCGTGAGGTCATCAAGTCAATCCCCTGTTCATTGCAAAATTAGAAAGTTTGAGTGCCAGCTACCCAGCCTCAGCCTGAACACATCCAATGGAGACCCCCCCCCCCATGCACACACATCATTGATTTCTCTGTTGAGTTGCTTTGCCTTACAATTTTTAAAAAAATTAATTGTGGGGCCTCTTCCTCTCCCAACCCAGCCTACCTCGCAAGGTTGTTGTGGGGAAAGAACGGGAGGAGCAAAAGCTGCGTACACTGCCTTTTGGTCCTGGAAGAAAGGCAGGATAGAAATCCAACCCGTAAATCACTCAATAACTTTGCTAGGCAGAAATCAAAAGGCAAGGACCGTCAAGAGGCCTGGAGTTCCCTCTGCTCTTCTGAACTCTGCACATGGGCTAGGAACTGGATGGTTCCTCTGCTTTGCAGCAAAACTCGGGACACCTGCCTCTCTCTGGGGAAACTGGTGCTGTTGTGAGGGTGGACGGAAATGCAGGACCACCCTGGGAATTTTGCCTGTTGTATTGAGTTTCTGAGCCGATAAATGTTGGTGATCACGTGGATCCAGAGAGCGAGGAACCGATTCCCAGATCCCAAGGATTCTGATGTAATCGGGTTGAGGTTAGCATTCCAGAGCTAAATTTCTCACCAGCCCAGCTTTAAAAACCACACATGTCATTTTCGGCAGCC